AATAGTTTCAAAGCTGGGAAATATTTCTGCAATTACAGAAAAAGGGATGGCATAAAAAAGTTCTCTCTAGTAATGGAAGAAATGCAGACATTCAGATACACCGATGTGTCTACAAAATTAGGAAAAAAATTTATGAAAGCGTTTGGTGACACGGACTGGGACAAACTTTCCGGAAAGTAATTTGGCGTGCCAACCTTTAAAACCAGTGACTATGGACTTCAAATGTGGCAAAGCTTTATGCATAAAGTGCTAGACAAACTTCATGCTCAGAGATGTTCCCTGTAGCAGCGTAACTTAAATTAGCAAAAAAATTGAAGATATCCTAAATATTTAATAAGAATAGTTTAGCAAATTATGACATGTCCACAAGAGGAATGTATTATAGCCATAAAAATAATATTCATAAAGAATTAATAACATAGAGATTTTTCCTTATGTTAAATGAAAAATATATATATATATGAAGAAATAGGAATAGAAAAAAATATAGACAATCTGATCTCACACATATAAAAATACTTGGAGAATAAAAGCTAGAAAGAATTACAATAAAATGAGAGTAGGCTTTCTCCCTGATAGTTCTAGCTTTTTTGCCCAAATTTCTGTCAAGCATTTCAAGATTTGTCTTCTGGAAAGCTAACAAACCTCATGTTCTGCTCTCACATCATAAAACCTTTTCAAAAGGCAACAATTTAAGGTCGTGTTTCTCATAAAGTTTCTGGTGTGGCTATGACTTTTCGTGAAATTGCTGGCAAAGCCTCTGATAGCCGTGCAACTTGCAAGCATTCTATGACCGTGAGAAAGGGGAATTTCTCCTCCAAAGAGCGGGACAGGTGTGTTACCTGGCACTCATGGCTTCGCCTGTGCCCGGAACATCATGATCTTCGTCCCGGGTGAAATGCTCTTTGCCAAAGAAATCTTTCACTATTTCTAAAACATCAACGGCCTCTAAAATTTCCCAAAGTGGCTCACCAAGTCCAAATTCTCTGACAGTGAGGACATAACAGATGAACCAAGGAGCTGGCTGTTTCTCAAAGTACACTAGAGAAAAACCGATTCCTCGCTGCTTAAGATATGCAATGAGGGAAATCTGGAAGGGCAGGCCCTGTTTGCCTATTTTCTTCTTTTGTTCCAAATCTCAATCAGCTGGGCCATCTCCCTAATACATGATCCATCAAAATATTCCCCAATTTATCACGAGTGACTTCTTTGGTTGAACGAGGGGCTGACCACTGTCGTCGAATGCATCACTCAAGGGCTTTATCTTGGGGTAAATGAAATATTGGGGAATTTCAAGGCTTTCAAAATCAAATCTTATTATGTAAATGACCCACATGGTGCAATTGATTTTGAGAATGGACGGGATAAGGTGCACCACTGGCCTGGCAGGATCTGCGTCCTGTAGCAATAAATGACAGCATTAAAGTAAAACCGAAGGGCGCTATCTGAAGCGACTACATATACGTTCCGTTGACATTTTCCAACTTGAGTATCCTTAATGTAACAATGATAGATGCCCATATTCATAACTGTGGGATACATCTGCATTAATTCTCATCAAAAGAAGCTGTTTTAAATATAACGGGGTGGCCACATTTTGGTTGCATATTGCCTGCTTTACACAGTAGCATCCTTGGCCATCTGAACTTTGATGGCACAGGAATTCATGGCACATTGAGATAAAAAAGCAAATTTCTCTCACCATGACAATCTTTAAAAGTACCGAGAGGAAAATTTTTAAAAATCCCTTTTCACTGCTTCTCTGAAACTCACTCATGAGTATTCCTGGGATATGTTTCCTAACATTTCCATAACAAAGTACCACATTCTCTGAAACTCACTCATGAGTATTCCTGGGATATCATGTTTCCTAACATTTCCATAACAAAGTACCACGAACTGGGCTTAAAACACCAGAATTTGTTGTCTCACAGTTCTGGAAGCTAGAAGTCTGAAATCAGGTGCGTACGGGGTGCGCTCCCTCTCTCCCTGCTGGGGAGAGCCCTGCCTTGCCTCTTCCTGGCTTCTAGTGGTTGGCCGATGATCTTCGGTGTTCCCTGCCTCTGTCATCACACGGCCTTCTCCCTGTGTCTCCATGTCTTCCTGGCTGTCCTCCTATAAGGACACCAGTTATAATGGATTAGGGGCGCACTTTACTTCAGTACGGTCTCATCTTAGCTATATTTACAAACATCCTATCTGCAAATAGGGTCCTATTCTGAGATACTGGAGTTGGGACTTCTACTTGTCTCTTTTGGAATGACATAATTGAACCTCTAACTCCTTGGGTCCATAGATTCTGGGTTAAGAGCCTGTTGAGAGAGACAGAGGGGATCCCGGGACCAGAGAATATGAAACAGGGGTGCAAAGGAGGCAGTAGGAACGAGACAAATGAAACCCACTTTGCAGTCCTGCCCAGAAGTCTGGTGGCGGTGATCCCTCCCTGCTGATTTCGGTGCGAGAACTCTAGTTATGGATGGCAACATTTACCCAGTTCCTAGCTGAAGACACTCAAGTTCTATACTTGAGTCTAGACTGCAAAGTGAAAGTTATGGTCGTATCCAGAACATTCTCTGTGGATGCCACATGTTTGAAAATGTCTGAATTTTGTGCAGGGACACACAAGCAGTATTTTTGTAAGTGGAGTTACATAATTAGGGCATGGGCTTGCATAATAATTAGCATGTGTAATTAGGTACAGACTTCTTGTCCTTTAATTAGACAATCAAGACATCTAATTACAAAATTAAGATGTAATTACGTGGCCCAAGATGACATATTTCCTTCTGCCCATTAGAGATTACATTTAGAAAATAATTCACAAAAACCGATGAAGAAATGAACCTATAAAACAAATCTGGGATGTTAAGAGAAGTGTTAAGTAGACTGGTAAGTCTCTTTTGGTCTTTCCTCTTAGGTGTGTGGGGAATCATTTAAAACATCATAGTCTACTCGAAAGAATAACTTTTACATCTTGGGCTGTCAACCTTTGGTATAAATGCTAATGAAGAGGAATGCGGGCATGACTAATCCGTATAATTCACACGTGGCTCTTGAGTGTGGTCTGTAATTACACCTGAACATGGACTTAGATGTGACGTCCTGGGGATTCATTCAAACCCGATCGCGGAGCCATAGGTGGAAGCTTTGGTTGGGAGAGCCAGGAGGAGAATCCTCCTTCCCCTTCTGCCCCTGACTTGGTTCTCCCGTGGCCGTGGCTGCTTTAAAAGCAGACCCATCACTCAGAATAACACGAATCAGCACTCAAGCTGGGTTGGCCTTTCCCTGAATATTTGACTATTCGATGAAAAGGTGTTATTTTCAGGGCTCCTTATTGGACTGAAGGCAGGAAAGGGGGGCGGGGGAAGGTCAAAGACTATACAAACGTTCCATCTTTCTGATGATAAGTGAGTGATTCTTACAGTAGCTGGTGGTTTTTTTTTTTTTTTTTTAAGCTCCAGTACTGCTATGAAGCCCGGCTCTATTGACACCCTCTTTTTTTCCCTGCTCCTAAATTAAGATTTGGCTGGTCCCTGCATGATGCTAAACACCCAGTTTGACTCATTAATTTTTCTGAACTAACTGAACTTTCGACCTAATTAGCTGGCTGATTAGGGATCACAGCCATATGTCCAGGTTTTTCTAAGCCAGTTCTGACTTTAACTGCAACATCCCTCTGTTCCCATAAACTGTTGAAATATCCTAGTAATTCCAATGTTTTGACAGCCACACTGCACTTCTCAGACTGCCGCTTTCTCCTGGAAAGTGGCACAGAAATCTGTCGGGCCACATTTCCTGATTTTTGGTTAAGAAAATATGCTTCCCATATGGTTTTAGACCATGAAAACAAAGACGTAAAGAGGTCGAAAGCAGTTGGTGATGAGGTCTTGTCTCCACACTGTGTTCCCTCCATTCCCATTTTTTATTTTTCTCTATTAGGCCATGGAATGTGATGAGGGACAAATTATGCGCAGGGGTCATTTTTGGCCAAGAAAATACACAAATTTGCGCGGAGAGTTTATTGTCGCCATTGCTATTTTTCTCCCTTGCCTTCTGAGACAATTGTTCATGGTAGATTTAGAGGCAAAAGAACTGAACTGGGGAGAGGTGTGTTTTAAAAAACTATTTATTTATTGATGGACATTTTAGGTGGAGAAACGGTATTTGGACTATATCATTTCTAAGGTGTCTTCCAACTGTGAGATTTTAGGATTCCTTGATCTGTAGCCTGGCATTCAGTCAGGAGGAATTTCCTGAGCTCCAGGCTGCTCACTTGCCTGTAGGCCTCCACCCCTTCAGTCATTGGACGTGATCAGCTAGAATCTTCTTCTACCTTTACTTCTGGAGAACTCGACAATTCTGATTTCTTATTGGGCCAAAGGCTGAAAGCGAACTTCACTTTATTTTCAAAATTTGCTTTTCCCCTCAGGTACTCTACGTCAGCCTTTTCAAGACTGGAGAAGTTGGGCATCAGACATCCCAAGCCTTGTCCTTTTATTGGAAACTTGACATTTTTCCGCCAGGTAAGGACTGTCTCCCACTTCCTTCTAGCATAAGATACACTGAGCCTGGTGCAGCTTTATCCATGAAGCACTGCTCCATCTAAGTCACCTCCTGCTGGGGTGGTCTTTATGTGAAGGTGCTTCATAATGAGCCTTCCTCTACTTGAATGAATTCTTATGTGGTGACAATGATCTAGAGCTTATCAATCATCAATATGTATTGAGTCCTGTCATTCATTCATTCATTCGTTCATTCATTCAGCCATTCACCCAAAACCCCCTTCATTGAGTATCTAAATGTGCCAGGCCTTAGAATGCAGAAGAATTAGAAGTTACTCCTGCCCTCGAGGGCACGCATCAAATAATGGTGGACAACACCCGATGGGATATATCCCAGCACTAGATTGGGTGGCTGTCCTTCAGAGGAGAGGCAGATCAGCCAGGGCTAGAATCATCCTGGAGGACTTCCTGGAGGAAGGGGTCCTACCGGAGCGATAGACACAAAGACAAGGACACACAAACCAGGTGAGGAATGACAACGTGTTCGATTGTATCTGCATAAGAACCAGCACACAGCTCGATGAGCAGCCAGGACCGACTGGAAGCCAAAGACTGGGGAGCACAAGGAAATGCAGCTATCTGACAGACAGACAGACAGACAGACAGTCAGACAGAGACTGGATTCCTGACAGTCTAGAAAGGCAAGTGAAGAACTATTCATGTCGTATCCTTCACGAATAGGGGAGGGACAGAGAACTGGAAGATGACTCTGTAAGGGAGAGAATTCAGGTTTGGTCTGTAGAATCCAATTGTTTTTGAAGTCTCGGGGTGAAGTGGTGGCGACTTGGCCAGGGGTGGTGATGAGCATGACAAGAGAAGGACATTGGGGGCCAAATCAGTACCTCTTGTGACTAATTAGGAGTAGAGAATTCAAGGCAAGATGAAGCAAACCTGCCTCGAAGGCAGGGTGACAGGGAGAATGGCACAAGTGGACAGAAATAAAAGGTCGGGAAGGAAGCTGGTTTGGGGAGACGCGTTTGATTTGCCAGAGCGACATCCAAGTGGAGACGTCCAGCCGGCGTTGGTAGATAGAGGGCCAAGACTCTATCTTCTAAGTCTATTTCTTTTTTCTCACATTGGGTTTTCTCAGAAACCAGATGATGTATTCTGCTGACTCATGGGGAGGGGGCGGCGGGGCTGTCACTGGACCCAACATCAGGAGCCAACAGATCTAGCATGTGAAGAGCCACTAAGCCAAAGGCAGGAAGGACTAAATTTGGGCCAATCCTGATAATGTCCTTTGCCACCCCTGCAATGGGAAAGGCTGGCCCTTGGCACCAGATAGAAAACCATCAGCTATTTCGGTCCTTTTTCCTCTCCCTTCTCAGTTTCTTCTCTCTTCTTTTCCGTCCTGTCTCTGCTGTGTCCCTCTTCCTAGAGTTTTTAAAACACTCTGCTCTCTCATCTCTATCTCACGGGTGGCCAGTCCACAACTTTAAACCCACAGCTATCTCATTCGGGCTTCCTGCGAGCCCCTCGGAGCAAATGCAAAGACATCGCTCAGTGTCAAAATAGAACAACACACCAGATAGGACATTAAATAAATAAATTTCACGTATTTCGGGGGCGGGGGTGGGGGGTGGGGAATGATCGGTTGCATTCGGTTGAGTAATTAATTTAGTATTAACGTTTTGAGGCAAATAGCTTAACCGTCGGTAGGAGGAGAACGCTGTGCTCCTGCCTCTGGATAATTTCACATATGCTCCTTTTCAGCTCGTCATCCTTGTATGTGCAAACCCTGCCAAGTGCTTTCTAGAACATAGTAATTTCAGTGACTATTTTTATATTCATATATGCTCTCCTTGATATATGGCAAAGCTTAGACTGTGAAAGTGATTTAATGAGAATGGGACATATTCCCAACAAGGACATCCGGCTCCTCTACGCCCCGACTCTCCGCTCTCCCCCACCCCTTACCTACCTGCCCGTATACTCCATCCCCATGAGACAAGTCTAGCATTTTCCACTCCCCCGCCTCCCTCCTGACCCACATATATTTGCATGTATAGTTCCTTCCCGCAACCCAATGGATCTAGCCATCTCCAACCCTTCGCCTGTACAATTCCTCCACGAACTCCTGCATGCACACTCCATACTCCGTCCCCACCGCACGGGGAGTCTGGCCCCAGCCCCACTCTGCCTCGTGTGTGTCTCCAGGCATACCCCCTTCCCTAAAAATGTGTCTAGTGCTTTGTCCTATACAAAGTTGCTCTAAGGTCCTTATGTTCTAAGGATGTTGATTTTACTTAAAATTCAACTTGGATCGTAATTCAGAATTCGTGGTCATTTGGATAAACTTAGCAGAAAACGTTTACACACATGGTGGTTGTGAAAAGAGGCTTTGCCAGGAATAATAATAATAATAATAATAATAATAATAATAATATAAACCAAATTGCAGAGGGAAATGTTAACATAGTTGAGAAAGCAAATAGTTTTCAAATACTTTAGCAGCAATTATACACAAATAGTTTAAGTACAGATGATCTCTTCTGTCCTTTATAGCAGAGCTGACTGAGACTTTTCCCTCGGCGACATATATTTTTAAAGCTGTTAGTTTCTTCTACCACTCGAAAGTCCTCGAAAGCAATATCAGTTCAATTCTTTTCTGATTGTTTATGTAATTGGGTTCTCGCTGTTCCGGACTTTTTTTCTGAAGAAGTCTGAATCGTATTCTCACTACAGTGCTGTGTTTCTGCAGGGCTTCTGGGAAAGTCAGATGGAGCTCAGAAAGCTGTATGGACCTCTGTGTGGGTAAGAGAGAGACTCTATTCGTCTTCCACATATTTTGAACTTTGCACGTTGAATGGACATGGACGTAATGGCAAGATGGGAATGTTGCCTGTGTTTCCGTCTTTTGAGGAGCCACAAAGAGAGTGCCCGGAAGTACAGACGAGGGCCCTAGGAGGGACCCCAGGGGGACACTGTGCTAGCCTGAAACAGCACCACTTCCCAGCCTCTGAGACCCTGACGAACTGGGTCAGGCTCCGCGTGCCTTCGCCATCTCTCACGACAAAGGGTGCACGAGAGCGTGCTGCAGTGGGACGCGGTGGCCTTCCATGCTTTGGTCTCATTTGCTTTGATAACCTGTGACAGGTCTTTCCCCACGAAACCATCTAAACCCTACTTGGACCCCGTCTCTGAGTAAAACATACTGTTAGCTGTAAGACCGTATCGTCTACCATCCAATCCAGTACATTTTTAAAAGCGAAAGGAGGTGCTATTAATAATTACCCCAGGACCACCCCGGATCTAACGGGACATGTGGTCACCCTAGTTCTCAGCCATGTAAAGTAATATAGCCTTTCCCTTTACTTTTCCTGGTGTTTTTCCCTTGTATGCTTTAGAGTATGCTCCTGCCCACGTTGAAAAAACTAAAATTCCGGAATCTTGTGAGCACACCCTTGTTCAGATCATTTACCCTACTCAAGATCTCACAGACTTGAATCGTACTGATTCTCAACCGTGTCTTTCCACACTGGCGTCTAATCATCTCGGTCTGTTCCCACACGCTTCTCCTTGGCCACTGGGTGATTTTTTAGTAGCCTTTTTCCAGACCCCCCCAGGTCGGCGATAATGCTTTCAGGCGCAGTGAAGTTCGGTTGTGTGGATTGATGGGCTCCAGGGGCTTGGGGGTCCCTTCAATCATAGGACTATTCTCCAAGCGATGTTTTTCGGAAGGGAGCAACTTGTGCCCTTTGTGGGACTAGCTCTACCCAGGAGACCCAGAGT